CTCTGTCTCCCCTTCTTTCCAGTTCCTGGCAAAGCCTTTCTTCCTCTTTATATTCCTTTTCAAGTTAATTTCACTTTTCTAGCTCTCCTGCCATACTTTCAAGGAACATTGCATTCCCCCTGATAACTTGGGGAGTGGAAATATGTTCCTTTCACTTTCTCCTCCAGGACAGGATTAAACTGTACACTGTGCATGCATAGGTGTTGCATGGTTCTGGAAGAAAAACAAGCATAAAACACTCTCTTCGAGTCACTGCAAAATTGCCCTTGTCCTTCCTCTTGAAGCAAGATTCATAGTCATTTGTCTTCTTTTTTGGCATCTTTTTCCCTTGACTTAATGCTGTCAATCCTAACTCCTTTGTCAAACAACTCATTTGAGAACCTCATGTCACTTGGCTGCTGATTTCTAGATCTTTCCGTTTTCTGAATTTTAGGATCCTCTGCCCCAGTTTGGGGGGACATTGATTTAACAGACAGAAATCAAGAATACAAAAACACACAAGACAAAAGTAGGAAAAATTGAGTTCCAATTCTGAGTCAGCTGGGTGACCCTGGGCAAATCATTTATGTGCTCTGTGCCTTAGTTTCCTCATCTGTAAAATAGAGGTAATACTGGCACCTCCCTCCTAGGATTGTTGTGAGGATCAAAAATAATATGCGTGATGTGCTTTGCAAATCTTAGAGCTCTGTGTAAATGCTAGCTATTATTAATAATTAATATTTATTATTACTACTACTGCTAATAATAATAATGATGATGACATCTACCCAATTTGTTTCATGTCACCACTGGGTCTCTGGATATTTTCCTTCACATCCTTGGCTGGCAGGCTTTCTGTCTAAGGAGAATTTCCTTCCTTCCTCTGCCTCCCACTCCACCTTGACAACTCCCTGGGTCTCAGAGGTTTCTTAAGGACATCTAGTCCAAGCCAGCCCCTCTACATTATTCCTTCCAGCCTCCATGAAAACTTCCAGTGCTGGAGAGCCTGCTAACCTCCTGGGCTTTCCCCTTTTGGACAACTAATATTAGGAAGTCCTTCATTATTCAAAGTTGAAATCTGCCTCCCTAGATTGTCCCTTCCTCCTGCCTCATTGTTGCTCATTTTGCCTTCTGGGGCCAAACAGAGCAGGTCTATGCCTGCTTCTCTTCAGGCATTGGAAGACAGGGATCATGTGTGTCCCTGCTAAGTTTTACCAGTTCCTGCGATGAATTCTCCTACAATGTGATTTTTTTCCTCCTTCTCATCCTGTTCATCCATCTCTAGACCTTTCCAGTTCATCAATGACCTTCCTAAAATGTGGTGCCTAGCCCTGGGCCCAATTCACTGTTGGGATCTGACAGGGTGAAGGACCACGGGACTAACAACCCCCCCTTCCCCAATTAGATGGCTAGATGGCTATCAATGCTGCTTAAGAGCACCTAAGACCATTGACTGAGAATTGGAAGGGTCCTCAGAGGTGATCTACTCCGATATTCCTCACTTTACAGATGAGGAAACTTAGGCAAATAGGGGTTAAGTGACTTCTCCAGGGTCATATAGCCAGATTGTGTCAAATTTGAACTCAGGTAGGTCTTCCTGACTCCAAGCCCAGCGCTCTAACCACTTCGACACTCAGCTACCCCCACACATAGCAGCTGCTTAATTGATTTCTTAACCAATTGGTTGGTTTCTCTAGTATGTTGTATTCACCAGCAAAATGTAAGACCCTTGAGGGTAGGGGATAGTTCTTTTTTTTTCTTTGTATTCTCAGAATCTAGCACTGTAGTATACATTTGGTACCTAATTAATGCTTGTTGATTGATGGATGGATTGATCTATTTGTTTTTTCTTGTACTAATGGTTAAGGTCGATCTCTTTTGATCATAGAATCTTTTTTTAACATGTGAAGTCATGCTAATATGGTAATGTTTTGCATGATTGAACATGTATAACCTATATAAAATTGCATAGTGTCTCAGGGAGGAGAGGGATAGAAAATGGAGAACTCAAATTTTTTAAAATGAATGTTAAAAATTGTCTTTACACGTAACTGAGGGAAAATAAAATATTATTTAAGAAAACATGTGAAGTCATGTAAAACATATTTCTATATTAGCCATGTTGAAAAAAAAAGGCAAGAAAAAGAAAATGAAAAAATGATGCTTCACTCTACACCCAGACTCCACCAGTTCTCTCTCTGGAGATGGACTGCATTTTTCATCACAAGTCCTTCAGAACTGGCTTGAATCATTCATTGTACTGTTGATTACAGACTCTTGAGGAAACCGTGGTTGAGAAGTGAAAACTGCCCAAAGCCACGGAAATATGAAGTGGCTGGAATTCAAATGTAGATCCTCCCACTCCAAATCCAGGGCTCTTTCCACAGTGCAGACAAACAATGTCAGGCTAAAAGAGGAGCAGCTGGAGGGCCCCACTCTGTATAGGGTATTCCACTTTTATTTGTACTCTAAGCTGGAAACCCTCTACGATGGTGACCAGGGGATGCTGGAGCCAGCTTCTACCTGCTAGAAAGCTGATTGCTAAATTTTCAGTGTGAGAATTTGTACCTCAGAAGTTGGCAAATACTACAAATCAGGCTTGTTTGGTTGATTGTCTAGACTTAAAAAAGTGATGGAGAAAATGTCATTGATAAAGGTTAAGCTTAAAAGTGAAGTTGAACATGTACATCTCCCCCTGCCCCCAACTCTAGAGCCAGTTGTTAAACATTTATCAGCATACCCCTGGTGGTGAACAACACTTTGGGGCAGCACATGCTTTCCTACTTGTACCCTGATTTCCACAGTCAGGAGATTGTGTGTGTGTGTGTGTGTGTGTGTCTGTGTGTGGAAGGGGGTTGTTGTTTGTGTTTGCTTGTTTGTTTTGGGGTTTTTTTTAAGGCAATGGGGTTAAGTGACTTGCCCAGGGCCACACAGATAGTAAATGTTGAGGTCATATTTGAACTCAGGTCCTCCTGATTCTAGGATCATTTATCCGCTCACAGATAAATGCAGACTTTACACTCTGGCTGACTCTGTGTCCAGTTAACAGATACCTTCTGGTTTACTTCTCTTTGGTGAGCAGGTGATGAGATGGAGTGTCAGTGAGGAGGGCAGGGGCTCAGGGAGGGAATTGTATGTCAGGAAGGATATAAGTACTCAGTGAGTAGTCTGGAGGTTAGTTGAGGGGGATCAGGTTTTGTGAGAGGGACAGGGAGCTCAAGACATGGATAGGAATTTTTTGAGGTAGGCAATGGAGGGAATTCCATCAACGGGAGAATGAGATACTCAGTGAAGAGGGGTAGAGACCTCAATGAGGGCCTTGGCTAGTGACTGAAGATGAAACTTGGTGAGGGGAAAGGGGGTCTGATGGAATGAGAGCTGTATGGGGATTGAAAACTCCATGTGGGTGTATAGAGGTTTAAAAGAAGGTAGGATCCCCAGTGGAGGTTGAATAAAGGAGGAGTGAGGATTGGGGACAACAGATCAGTGATGGGGACAGAGACCCACTGTGCATAGAGGTATACCGAGGATAGATACAATAGACATAGATGGAGTCATAAGTGAGGGGGATGGCAGTCATAAGTGAGAGGGATGGCAGGTGAAGGGAAATGGGGCTCAGTGAGATAAATGGAAGTTAAATGGGTCTTAATGAGAATGAAAGTTTGGTGCACAGATTGAGGCTCACTGAAAGGAAAGAGAGGCCCCAATGGTGGGGGATGAGACCTCATTTAAGGGATGGGGCTAAATGAAGGCAATGAGGTTCTCATGCTCCCTGAGGAAATAGGGGCAAAGATGACCATTATTCCAGTCCTCAGCCAAGAAAGTGACCAAACTGGGCCAAACGGGAAGTGAGACCTCTGAAAACTGGATGGAAGTTATCTGCTTCCAAGATGGAAGGAACCGGATGGGGTTGGGAGGGTAGTAAAGAGGTGTCGGGACTCTAGGAATGGAAGTAGTGTTGGCCCTAGCATTCAAGGGCTTTGTGGGAAACCAGACAAGAAGTATTACCCTCACTTAAAAAAAAAAAAACACCCTACAGTCTTCAACTGTCAAACCTGAAAGGATGGAGGCCCCTAAAAGACCAGGATTCACTCCCCTCATTTTACAGATGGGAAAAACAAGGTCCAGGGAGTGGCAGGGACTTGTCTGAAGTCACACAGTGGCTGAACAGGGAACTCAACCCAGAAATATAAAGGACCTCGAGAGTCAGACAGTCCAAACCCTGGCTGGGACAGGCAGGAATCTCCTCTCTAGGCAATCTGCTGGCTGATCTTCTAAGTTTCCACCTGAAGACCCCCAGTGAAGAGGAGGAGAAAAATCACTACCTTGCAGGCAGCCCATTTCACACAGGGCTAGATAACACAGCTCAGAAGCTTTCCCACACAAGCCTGACCTCTTTTCCCCGTGACAGTCATATCGAATTCTCAACTGCCATCTCCCCTCACCAGCCTGGCCAGCCTTCTCTGCACTCACCAAAGTCCTTCCAAAAGGTAGCACTCCAGACATGGATGGGATGCAGAAGAGGAGGGGCTGGTCTCTTACTTCATGGGGGTCTAGTGTGGTCCACTAAGACCCTCCAGATCTCTCTCTCTCACACACACACACACACACACACACACACATACTGCCGTCCAGCCTTACTGCCCCTACTCCTCTGCTTCTGCAATTGCCTTTATTTTTTTCATCTAAGTTAAGATTTTAGATTTCTCTCTCTTCCATACAGTTTCTGACCAAAGTTATAGCCTAGGTTCGGTTTTTGTCTATTTGTTGCTTCATGCCCCTCTTCTCCCAGCCCATGGATGCTGTCTAGCATCTCACTGGACCTACCAAGGTTCACAGGACTCATGCTTGGAGACAACTGAGTCCAGCTCCCTCATTTTACAGATGAGGAAACTGAGGCCTAAGTGATTTGGTCATAAAGCAGGAAGCAGAGTGGGAAAAGGTCCTTCCCTCCTCTGGGTGTCCTCTAAGAGTGTCTTAAGGTCATGGTGGGGTTAGTGTTGGGAAAAGGATACAGCTAGGCAAGGGGAATCTCCTAATTTTATTGGTAACAGGTGGCAGGGGCCAGGGCCGGACTGGGGGAACCAGGGGCATAATAACTTAAAAACTGGAGGCAGCTCCCTTGGCGGACAGGATGAGGGGAGGTTGGGAGGCAGAAGGGAGGATATATTTACAAGGATTTGTACAAAGTGCCAGGGAAAAGAGGAAGGGAGAAGGTGTCTGATTGGTGGGTGGAAGCAGGGGGAGGGAGGACAGAAGGAGAGGAGGCCCCCAGTCCTCCCAGCCCCCCTCTTCAGTCTCCCCTCTCCCCAAACCTCTCACACCAGGTAACGGAAGGGGGAGAATTTGAGAACTTCGCCCCATGGAGAGTCCAATCCAAATCAGTTTTGGGCACCTGAGGTGGTTTTTAGAGGGAAAGAAAGAGAAAGGAAAGCCCTCGGGCTGGGGGTAGGGGGGCCTTCCCCTATAGCCAAGCTCCTCCTGGGATGCTGTACCTGGCTTTCACAGCCAATTTGCCACCCAGTCCAAAGTTCAGTCTCATGGCAGGTCTTCTTGGAGAATGGGGTAGGAGGTGGGGGCAGACAGGATCCCTGTCCCTCTTTCTACCTGCTCCCCTGCCCCACCCTGCAAAGTGTCTGGCAACACATCCTAGAAAGAGTAGGGAATCTAGGTTCTACAAGGTTCCCTCCAGCTGCCTCCCCCCAAAAAAATTGGGGATAGAGCTAGGAGATACCCTAGAGACCAAGCTAGTCTAACTCCCTCCTTTGTCAGAAGAGGGAAACTGAAGCCTACAGTGATTTGTCCAAGGTCAAAAGAGTGAGAATCGGGAAGGATAACCTAGGGCTCCTGCCTCCCAGGCCATTGTGCCGGACAGGTGCCTGACTTCCCCCAAGGACATGTCCGACTGGCCCCACCTCTGCTTCAATGCCTCATTCCACAGAAATGGAAGGGTTGGGTGGGGCAGGAGTGGGTCTGGGCTTTGGTGCAAGAGAAGGAACAGGGAGGTAGGAAAGCTGGGTTCTAAGGCTCCCCAACTAGCTGACCTTGGGCAAGTCCCTTCTCCTCCCTGAAACTCAGTTTCCCTCTCTGTAAAATAGGAAGGGTGGGACTTGATGGTCTCTAAAGCTTCTTCCAGCTCGAAAAGACTAGAGTAACTATGGTGGTCATGCCCTCCCCAATCCCAGCGTGAGTGGAGTGGAAGGAGGATGAGGGGGAGCCGAGCTGTGCAGTGGGGCACGGGGGCTCCCCTTCCCCTACCCCCTCAAAGTCTCTGGTGGAGGGGGGCACTGCCAGTCTTAGAGCTCCAGATCATTGGAGATGCGGGTGACCAGCGTGCGGAAGGCCAGGGCAGTGCCTGCCACCCGGCGGAAGAGGACACCCCGGAGGCCCGGCCGAGGCAGCTGACACACCTCCACCTCGAAGTGGGACAGGGGCTCGGGCCCGCCGGCCCCACCGTGAAGGCAGGCCAGCAGGAAGGGCTGGGGCTGGCGGCAGCGGCATCGGGCAGCAGCTGTAGCCTGGCGAAGGGCTGCCATGAGGGCCTCTGGTGGGCGGGAGCTGGTCAGCTTCACACTCCAGGGGAATCGGAGCAGCCGGGGGGCGGCTTCCTCTTGATCCCAAGGTAGATGGCGACTGCAGGAGACCAAGCAGACAAGGAGGGAGTGAGGGGGAGGTGGGAGAAGTAGAAGGTCATGGGAGGAGAGAGTGAGAGGAAGGTGGGAGAAGTGGAAGGTCATGGGAGGAGAGAGGGAGGGGAAGGTGGGAGAAGTGGGAGGTCATGGGAGGAGAGTGAGGGGAAGGTAGGAGAAGTGGAAGGTCGTGGGAGGAGAGTGAGGGGAAGGTGGGAGAAGTGGGAGGTCATGGGAGGAGAGAGGGAGG